CATGCAGAATTTCCTGAGAGCAAATTAATGTTCCAACAATTCTGTTAAGAAATTAAAGAGCCAATAGACAGCTTTTTTAGCTGGTTTGAAGCTAGTTCTAGCTACTTGCATCTGAATAAAGATGCACAGGACACAATGCATTAGGTCTTTGGGAGCTAGTAGGGCACAGTGAAGGGGTCTTATTGACGCAGATGGTGTCATGAAGCGATTAGATGGGGCAATCAAAATGTACTTTAGTTACTAGTTAAAGATAAATTAAAGCAAAAATGTGTCTATTGTCACTTTAATGTAGTTTACACACACATCATCAATAATATACATTATCTTGTGACATTTTCACAGCCGTACTGTGAATCTGCCTCGTCTCAACAATTGACCTTATAAACATATTTAAAAGAAATGGGGTAAAATGAGTTATTTCCCTTGGCAAGCTCAAAGCGTGCTGTGTCAGTATTGATGACCCTTAGCTCTTCCTCTTTAGCAAGAATGAAACATGTGACCCGCTGAAGTGATCACTTGACTGGGCCATAAGAAACAACCACAGTGGGGGTTAAGTTGTAAGTGATTGTGCCTGTTGGCTTAACATTGCTGTTTCTGAGAATGAGAGGGGGGGAGGGCCAGGAATGAGACAAAATGAGTCTGTTCTACCAAAAACATCTATATTCACTCCTACTAGATCATGTCTACATAAATGAATTAAAAAAAGACCCAGGAACTGAATTCTCTTAAGACATAAATGACATTTCCTGTGGGTGCAAGCTGCGTATCGACCTGTTGTCACAGTCCTGTGACAACAGCAGAGCTTTATCCGGAACACTCTATTACATTATCTTGTCATTTAACCCAAGCCTGAGGGGTAAACACACAATAAACAAAACAGAGGACCACAACAATTGTAATATAGCAATCTCTCTTGGCCAAATGGATGTAAGTCGGTTTTAAATTCAAGTTAGTCATGAGGGAGTACAGCTGAGGGTATAATCACACGTCCTTACATTAAAATGGACAGGACCCTTTTGTTAATATAAAAATGTATACACATCTGCCTTTTAAATTACAGATTGGATTGTACAACATCCATGGTAGTCATTTCAGAACGTTTTTAAGACATTCAGAAAGATAAACAAATTGCATATCAACTTGGAAGAAAATGAAACTAAAAGTAATAATCCATGTTCTCACCGAACATCTTTGCACATTTACCTTTATATGTATGACCCCGGGGAGCGTCCCAATTCGCTGCTCTATGGACTGGACACAGGAGCCACATGTCATGCCCTCCACTCCGAGGGAGACTGAAGACAGATTGACTTTCTGTGTCATGGTTGCTTTCTCTAAAAAAGGGACACACGAAGTACAACATGTAAAACTCAAGTCTTTGGCTTTATAAAAAGAACCAAGCGCAAACCTTTAACAAATGCAGGGCAAATACTCAAAGAGACAGGTCAGAAGAATCATCAAAATGTAATGATAAAAAAAAATGGCTGAAAAGCTAAAGTCATGTCAGGATCTTGGTTAAAAACAACACAAGAGTTATCTAGAATTGTTTTGTAACATAGTGAAATGTTACTATAAACATTTTAACTCATATTTCATTTGAATGAAAATTCAAAATGATATATATGCTACAAAGAACTTTAGGAGCTCGTAGCTGTGAAATAATACAAGTCGTTGTTCTTTCAACCTTGTCCACAAAACAAGATATGAAAACACTTGACAGAACTGGGTTCTCTATTGTAAAGAAACAAGTCTTTATTGCACTTCTTAAAAACCAAATGTTTATCAGATCAACGATTCAAATTGTATTTATTACCACAGTTGTGAAGAAACAAACAGCAAAACTTGCCAACTTTTATCTATATTTGTGTTTGCGATTAGTATTTCCACTTCCTTCCGTCACTTGACATCAATAAATACAACAAAGCGTATTTGTTCAATGATATCAAAACAAAAGTAAAAACACAAGGGAAAGCTATGATGTCCATGTTGTCTTGAATTACTCGGTAATGAAACAACAGCAGATTAAAGCTCAACACATTATTTGACTGTTATCATAAATATAATTACCACAACTTCAGTGATGTACAGAAAGAAAAGGAAACCCTGCAACAGAAAGTCAACATAAAATTGTATTTGATGCTCCTTAAGACTAAGGCTATTTCCTAACAAAGGTAATTAGCTGTAGACCGAATAAATGGTTTATGTGTAACAACGTTTTAAGACTTTTGATGAGGGTTTTCGAGTGAGTAAAATCATCATTTAATTAAGCTACGATTTAAGCGGCTAATAAAGATAGCTTGACTTAGCTCTAAAAAAACAAACAAGTTAAACTCATCATTAGCTGTCTTCTGCTTGTTACTAAACTTAAAAAACTGTGTATAGTTTATTAAAAATGTAATGTAGACATTGATCTTACTGAAAGTGTCATGTAATAACACAGCTTACGTTAGTTTTAGCATGTAAATAAAAGTCTTACCTTACTCAAAGTAACCAGTTAGCTACAGGCTAATGACGTTGGCTGTCAGACTGTGGCTAAGCTAAGTTGCCAGCTTCTTCTCTTCAAAAAATAAAACCAAACAGCAGCGTCGTGGCATCGTGCTGTCTATGGAGAATAACAGAGGGTGCTGGAGTATGTCTTTTATTTCCCTGTTTTAACAAAGCTGAGCTCTCTGTGAAGCTGTCTTTATTTCTTCTTCTCATGCCGACGTAACGAGCGTCTCCTATGGAAGACGTTTCCACGCGGCTACGTCACTAAATGGGCGGGGCTGGAATCCATGGCAACACCTCTGGGTAATTTTGCCCTAAATTAGCCCTGTCAGGCTGCATTTACTGAAGGCTTAAGCTGTTTTCAATTTTATTTAAGTACATTTAATCAGGGATGCAAAGTACCTAAGTGCATTTTTTCAAGTACTACCGTAGACATTTTTTGAGGAACTTTTAATTTACTGAAGTATTTCAATGATTTGCTACTTAGTACTTCTACACCACTACGATTCAAAGTTTAATAGTGTACTTTTACTCCACTACATTTATTCTATACCTTTAGTTACTAAGCAGATTCATGTTGTGAAAAATAACAACACTTAAATAAGACTTGAGGGACATCTGGAGCAATATTCACGGTCAGACAACCCTGCAGTATACAAGTAATTCATTACATTAGCTGCATGCTTTACCAGCTGTGATAAATACAATAATGCATAAATAACTATAATTCAAACCTATGATATACATTATTCTGAAAATGGGCCGACCTGCATAATGAGTACTTTCACTTTTGGTCCTTTGAGTATATTTTGATGCTAATACTTTTGTACTTATACCTGAGTAACATTTGAAATAAAGGACTTTTACTTGTAACAGAGCATTACAATCTGGTTCTTCTACTTTTACTTAAGAACACATACTTTACATTACATTTAATTCAATTTATATACATTTTCCTCCATGTTGATCAACAAAAAAAACTTCAATTCAGTTCACTATAGCTCCGTTGTTTTGTCCGACCAGTAGCTGTCCTCATTCATAAGCCCTCTGTGCTCAGTGAAATATGATACATCTTTGGTCCATAGTCTGTTTTGACACACTGGAGTGAAATAACTCCAGGGACCTTACACTTTGGGGGCACTCGAAACACAGGGCAAACTTGTGTCCTTCCACCGTCCAGTTTGACTGACCTCTACATGACCGTCCAGTTTGACTGACCTCTACATGACATTACCCTGGTAATCTTTCTTTCTAGGGGTGGCTGCTTTCCCAATCAGGAAGGAAACCAGAGGAATTAGGTGTCTTATTAGGTGGTCTTAGGTGGTATCACAGCTGGTAAAGCATGCAGCTAATGTAATGAATTACTTGTATACTGCAGGGTTGTCTGACCGTGAATATTGCTCCAGATGTCCCTGGTCAGAGATATCCTGTTTAATTTTTGGGGGAATGACTGTAACTTGAAATGTGAAATATGATTTGATTAATTGCTGAGTGTTTTTCTTTTTTAATTAAGCTTACTGTATACAAAAACACACACAGGTATAAATATATATATCAAGTGTAATCTTTCTTCAATAATAAAAGGTATCCCCCTGTTGATGTAGGTCTTTCCTCCATGCCTATGCAGATGCAGCAGGCAGGCCCATGCTTCCCCCTCTCTCGTGTTTCAAGCTGTTGCTAAAGCCGTGAGAGTCGCTTGTGAAGAGACCTGCTCCTGCTGTCCTATCTCAGCCACAGCCAGCATTGATCAAGTCATCTCCATCCATGGCTCCAATGAACGATGTCTCCTCCTCCGGCAGAGCACACAACAGAGAGGAAAATGTTGTTTGTCAACCCTTGATAAGTAACACCCGTTAGTTGGAGTTTTTACTTTGTTTGGTTTTATATGGGTGTTTTTTGTATGCTCATAGTCAGCAAGGTTTCTGTTAATGTGTCTCTGGCGTTACAGTGATTATCCATTCACTTCAGCTCAGTTCAAAGTATGGGTTGATGGTTTTTATAAAGTAGTAAACTCTATTTAAAATACTTTTGCAAAAAGGTGTCAAGAAATGATGATCCAGTTAAGAATTCATTCTTAACTGGATCCGTTAATTAGTTATTTATTATTTTCATGTTCGGAAGCTTACATGGTCGTTTATTAACCGAGCAAATGATGGAAGAAGATGAGTACATTTACTGCACTTTGCATTTCTACTAAAATTAGTGGTAGATGTCTGACTATTGTATTTGTTGTGTTTGTTGTGTAATGTCTTGTATCTATATCCTTACTACTGTTGAAAAGAATGACAATTAATTGCATTTAAAAACTGTAAATTACTTAATGGGCTCTAGTTATTAAACAACTATAGGAAGGGAGAATAAAACGACCTTATTTTATGATAAATTGACATAATTCTATTTTGACGGGTATGAGACTGTAAACCACTATCAAAAATCTAATAAAAGCTCAGATATCTTTGGTACACACTCTCACCTTACTTTTGGCATTTATACAAAATGTGATTTGTTTCTGAATGAAACGAGGAAGGACAGGTCTCAAACCAAAGTGCCAGCACTTCCCATCCCTTGAGAAGAGAAGAAGTTGAGGACGTCCTGCTTTGCTCTTCCTGCAGCAGAGGACTGGGGTCACCTGCCGCCACACGTCGTCCTGCAGATCAGTCCACCCAGCATCTGTCCCTCGTAGACCGGGCCAGGGCCTCCTCAGTGTGCTGGAATGACATCTTTCACACCCCTGATCTGTGGAGGAGGTCTGAGTTGGAGCTCAGTCAGCCGGCTACATCTTACCTGTGCTCCACTCACCCCGACCTCATCCAGCAGATCATCAGGAAGCACGCCAAGCACTTGCATTACGTCAGCTTCAAAGTGAGAGTCTTCCCTGCCGTCAACCCTTTCCACAGCTGTCTTTATAACAATATGTGGCCTGCTTAATTCAATCCATCTGCTGCAGTATTGATCATGACGCTGCCTTGGCATAGGTGTGGTTAACACATCTAGGCTGGGATTATTCTCACAGTACAACGCCTTCTTTCCATATCTAACATTGGGATTTTTCTTTATTTTTACCTAAATGGTGAATCACTGCTTGTGAATCAGATGGATGGCTGCACAGAATCTGCCGAGGCGGCCTGTGACATCCTCTCTCAGCTGGGGAACTGCACCATTAAGACCCTGGGGTTGATTTCCACAGCAAGACCCAGCTTCATGGATGTGTCTCAGGTAAGACACTGCATCTCATACGCACATTTCCACCCTTTCACTGCTGCCCTGTTTGTTTGACACACAAGATCTAGATTATATGGCAGAAATATAAAAACATGTTGCCCTTTTTTCAAAAATCCTGTCCTTTATCAACATTGTTTGTCCCTCCTCAGGCCCACTTTGCGTCTGCACTGACAGTAGTGCTTGTCAACTCCAAGTCCCTATCTTCCATAAAGATTGATGACACGCTAGTTGGCGACCCGTCCCTGAAGGTGCTGGTTGCCAACAACAGCGACACCCTGAAGTTGCTGAAGATGAACAGCTGTCCTCATCAGTTCCCATTCAGACGCTCAGACTTCTCCCTCTGTCCTCAGGTATTCTGTGTGCTGCGGATCAGTGCCATGGACTCAGAGAGCTGGCGTTAAACTACCATCTCCTGAGTGACGAGCTCCTGCTGGCCCTCTCTTCTGAAAAACACGTCCACCTGGAGCACCTGCGCATCGACTTGGTGAGCGAAAACCCTGGACAGACACAATTGCACACCCTCCAAAGAAGCAGCTGGGAGGCTTTGGACACTCACCTCAAGGTCAACATTGTCATGTACTTCTACCTCATTGAGGAGGAGTTTGATGCCTTCTTCCGGGACGAGACCCCCGTCACCCAGTTGCACTTTGGCCGGGCAGTCAGTAAAGAGATGCTGGGCCGCGTTGGACTGAACTGCCCTCGGCTGGTGGAGCTGGTGGTGTGTGCGAACGGTCCTAAACCCCTGGATGAGGAGCTGATCCGTATCGCAGAACGCTGAAAATGCTTGACTGCCATTGGGCAAGGAGAGTGTGAAGTAACATGCAGCAGCTTTGTGGAGTTTGTAAAGATGTGCGGGGGCCGGCTGACTCAGCTGTCCATCATGGAGGAGGTGTTGATCCCAGACAGCAGCTACAACATGGAGCAGATCCACAGTGAGGTGCCCAAGCACCTGGGCCGCATGTGGTTCCCTGATATGATGCCCACCTGGTAGGCTGACATGGAGCCAGAGTGCAGGGCGTCAGTGTGATGGGCTCTGAGAGGACAGCATGCATCTGTTGTCACTGATCTTGGCTGGCTTACTGGCAGGCGATTAATTTCTAAGGCTGTCACTTTTGTTTACCTGTAGTACATTTGAAAAATATCTTCTCACTTAAAAACAACACATCGCATTTCTGACATTATTTCGCTATCATTGAGATGTCTTTACATGTTTAGATATTGTGATGTTGAACGTTGCTTTTAGTGGGCACTATCTCTTTGATATCAGACGACAGTAACCTCCACTAGTTGAAGCAGTGAAAGACAGAAACCCCAACTAGTCAAACTAGTTTCACAAAATGCTAATGAGGAAGACTCTCTAGTCTAAAATAAAAATACTAACCAAATAGGATTTTTTCATCAACCTTTTTGCTTCACATGCATGTTGCGCACTAGCTAAAATGTTGACCTGAGAAAATACAACTTGTTAACTAGTTGCATGTTATTCACTGTGTGAAGCTGACAATTGAGCGGCCCGACCAAGCAAGGAGGCAGAGGCAGAACGTCCAAAAATACAACCCGGTGTGGGCATTTATTAACTCATACACATATGATATGACACAGCCGCAATCTGCTGCTCCTGTGCGCACAGCCACCACACTACCAGCCTCCAAACAGACAGGGCAACAGAGCAACAGAGCCTAAATACACACCCACACTAATCAAACCAACAGGACACAGGTGAGGGGGGAGGAGACAACACAGGGCACCAGGTGCACACAATCAGCAACAGACATGGGGATAGGGGAACAATTTTCAACATAAAACCAGGAAACAGAGACAGACAAACTAAAATACAGACAGATGCACAAACTACATACACTTTGCCACCAATGAAGCTACAGAATCCGTAACGGAGGCCGAGATCTATGGCCCCAGAGATCACCTCCGTTACACACTGAATTATGCAAATGTATTTCTGTGCAAAACCTGACACCTGCCTAAAAAAAGGCTGTAAATAATTGCCTTATTTTTGAAAATGTAACGCATGTCACATAATGTGTTCATGGCTATTATGCATAATAGGCAGAAGGGATAGGGTTGGTCAGGTCTTGAAGAAGTCTGCTTTTTGTAACAGCTATTTCATAATGAATTATCAGTAAAAAAGATGTTTAATCTAAAATATCAAGCCTCTAATTGGATGTTTAAATGTCTGTTTTTCTGACTTTGTCCCATTTGACCTTTGTGCAGCTTTTTATTTTCAACACTAGAGAGCAGCAATGATCTAAGTGGATGCAGTGGGACCTTATATAAGCAGAGCTGCGACTGTATAATGAAGTATGCCAATGATAACTCAGCCCTTTTTACAAGTGGATTCGGCTTGTACACACTCCATTTCCATAAAAAAAGCTTTGTAGCTTAGAAGTCTTTTCCTCTGATTCTTCTGAATGTACCTTTTGGCTGAATGTGAAATAAGATGACACACATACAAATTGAACAATTTGATTGTTCTTATTTGTATTTCACAGCAGATTATACAGATAAACAAAAAACACAACCAGCCACAGGCCCAGCCTACAGTGTTAGGAGTTAGGACATAAATTTTTCTATAGAGGCAAGTTAATAAAACATCTGTAAACCACATCTGTGTGTTTGCCTCACTGACAGTATGCATTGTGACTGTTTAGGGTATCTAGGTGAGAGGAATATATTAAACCAGCTATGCATTTTGTTCTGGAAAAGTGCCATGTTTTTGAGGGGTGGGTGGCATGACTAATTGGGTTACCACTGTGCTCTGAAAACCCATCAGGAAAGTAACAGGCTTATGTGTTCACTATGGCAGCTTGTTATGAGAAGAGTAAGAAGGAGAGGGCTTTTAATACTTTTTGTCAATCATCGCACTGATCAATGATTTGTCAGAAGTCACAGAGAAAGAGTATTCTATCCTGATTGCATTTATGTAAGACCATAAGCCCACTCTTATTGTCTTCGTCCCCCCCCCCCCTTATTTTGGTGTTCGCGGTCAGATTTGACCGGTCCTGTTTTAATTGCTATTGCATTAACACAAAAACCATTAATCATCACCAAATGTCATTTAACACCCTTTCAAACTGTACATATTGTATCAGACGACTGGTATACATGAAAAACTGCAGTAAATATACAAAGAATAGACATTGAACATGTATTGCGTATGCCAGGTGTGATCCATGTGGGGGGATGGGCACATAAGAGTGGGAAATGTGTGAAATTGTTCTGTGTGTGTGTGTGTGTGTGTGTGTGTGCGTGTGTGTGTGTGTGTGTGTGTGTGTGTGTGTGTGTGTGTGTGTGTGTGTGTGTGTGTGTGTGTGTGTGGGGGGGGTGTTTGTATGTGACTGGGAACACCATGGGTGTTACAAAGTTGACTAAATCATCCAAAATGCAATGAAAGTGGTGATCAGCAATTGTATATGTTCAAATGTCTACTGGGAAGTATATCATAAAGCCTCAATGCAATCGAATGTAAAACAAAAAAGTTATGATTGATGAAAGTAGTAAATCGGTCAGATTTGACCCGAAGACAACAGGAGTGTTAAATTAAACAGCTATATCTGCATGAGCCAGTTCATAAAATGTTCACTCTTCTGAATAAATAATAATCTTATTCCTTCAATCTGCCAACGAGTCTCTGATTTGTACAGGCCTCTGATAGTTTTCAGTAATGACATTCAGTGTCAAATCATCAGCCATTATATCAGAGGCGGTGGGGGACTGGGGAAAAATGTCTGCAGGGGTATCAAGGGTGGGAGAGGGTGGGGGGGACAGCCTGGAACGTTTGACCTGTCCGAGGCCCCTGAAGCGCCTCCACTCCTTCATCCACTCGTCCCTGGTGGAGGCGTCCAGCCGGTCTAGTCGCCTGGCTTGCATGAGAGGGGAGGGGGCGATAGAGTTCCTCAGCACGTGAAACATGTACCTGGGGGAGAGAGTGTGGTGGTGAGAAAGTAGGCCAGTGAAAAATATGCGGCCCTTTGATGTAAATCAGAGCATTCCCTCTAAATAGCAGCACTTTCAGACGCAGCAGCAACCAGGAGGAAGACCGAGCCGTGGTACAGATAATTCCTGGATGTCACAATCGTCATGATTTAATTACAAATCAGCCTAAACTGTCCATAACAACCTCACAATTATATACCAGTTCATGATCTGCACATGTCAAATATACATACTCCGGAATAATATATAATATAATTATGATGTTGACTGGATTTAACATGGTTAGAAAGAGCTATGTTGTTCTTCATATATTTTTTGTGTGGGGACACAGTATTTTAGATCTTTTACTCAAGTGAAAACTTGTGAATGATCAGGGCTTATCATATCTTAACCTATACAAATAAATCATAACTTATAGCTTTATTATATATTGTATCATTAATTCAACTCTGTAAATTAATTTAGGCTGTTAGGGGATTATAAATATGCTGGAACATTTGATAATTACATTTAAAGTAAAACATATTTAATAAATATAATTTTTTTCCCTTATTTTTATAGATTTATTTCGAGATCCCCCAAAAGAAACACTGGATTAGTAGCTGCTTTTTAATTAGAAATTAGAAAGTTCCTCAAGTGGATATTTGTGCCTGTAGATGTAGGGACAGACACAACCCACTGGTCATATGTTCTTATTACAATACATAAAAAGCCCCTCTGTAACAATGACAAGGCTTCATTAAATGATTATCCACAGGGAGGATAGCAGTGAAGGTACCTGGGCAGCAGAGCCACCACCGTAGTGATGATGCAGAGAAGGTAGAACATGGGGTCGGCCATCTGGCTATGGAGGATCCAATACGGGTTGAACGGAGGGTTACAGGTGACGCACATGGCACTGTAGGCGAGCGTCACAATGAAGTACAACGCCACACTGCCTAGCATGGTTACCCAGTGAACCACCGTCTGCAAGACAGGTGCATAAACAGCATTTAGATACATTGATAATAATTGATAATGTGTCAAAAGAAGTCTGTTTTATTTTTATTTTATTGAATTAATTCAAAAATAGATTAATGGAGTAGCCTACTGTAAATAATATTATTTGACCATATTATTATTATTATCATACTGGTTTCAAATGCAGACCTGACTGTTTTGGCCCACTGGGAGTACATAGCGTAATCATTTATAATAATAGATATCCATAATTTCGGCACTCACCCAGGCTTTGATCTCTATTGACAGATGCAGCAGGATGGTAAATAAAGAAATGGTGTTTATAGGAGTTCCAAAGGTAAAAATATCTATGTCGGAATCCTGGTAAGCCTGGAGGGAAAAAAACACATTTAGTCAAATTTAAGGCAAAAAGAGACATAAAAGAGGACACACCATGACAGATGCAACTTTGCAAAATGCTTAATGAAAGACGGAGATTTCAAACGTTTCTCTTACCAAGTATGGAATAAAGAAGCCCACCAGACTCTGGTAGAAGGCATCAAGGATGGACACCCAGAAAGTAGTAAATGTGTATTCCTAAACAAGCACACACAAGCATGTTTGAATGAAGAGAACTACATTAATTAATTGAAGTAGCGGTATCTTGTTGTGGAGTGTCACTGACCCCTGCACCCTGCCCAGTCCTGTACAGCTCAGGAACACCAAGCAGCATCTCTGCAGAAATATCTTGGTCCATTATCCCAAACATTATGGGCGGCACCGAGGTGAAGAAGAGGTTGAAGAAAATCATCAGCCAGTAGTCGATCATGGTAGCTGCGGAGAAGCCGCAGAAGAACTGATACCAGAAGAGTAGGTTCACATAGGCCTGGGGAACACATTACAGTGTGGGTGATTAGAGGAGGAATCCAGACACCATTTAGATTCAGTCATCAGAGAGATTTAGCAGAGACGAGACTCACCACATTCTTATAGAAGAAATAAATGATCATGTTTGCAAGTCGAGTGTAGCACCAGTGTCCGTGGACCAGGAGAAGTTTCTTCAGGTGTTTAAAGCGAGATATAGCAAAATCACTCGCCATG